TATGTCGACGACCTGGAAAACCTCGTGGCATCTCTGCAAGACCCTCCTAGGGGCTCCTCCGAGAAGAATTTGCTCTTCATAGGCCACAGCCTCGGGGCTATCATCTCAATGCACTACGCCGCGAGACACCCAGATCAGGTTCGAGGTCTTGCCTTGCTAGGAGCAGGTCGCTCAGTCGCCCACATCCCCGTTGGAAGGGAGCGAATGCTAGGTCTAGCGGCCGAGACGCGCACAGAAGGGATTCAAGCCGCTGCTGAGATAGCAGCTACCTCCAACTTCCCGTTGCAAGTGACGGTTGAATCTGAGCTCCGCCGGGGCGTTCGGAAAGCAGTGGCGAGCTGTGACGCTGAATCCTATGCCAGAGCATGTGAAGCGGTCGCGGGTCTTGATCATCTGGATCCGGATTATAGCCTGATCAGTGCTCCGACCTTGCTTTTGACAGGAAGTGGTGACATAATATCTCCTCCAGAAAGATCTCTGGGACTACAGGAGTTGATTGGTGACAACGCGTGGGTAAATATTCTTGAGGGAGTTGGACATCAGATGCTTCTACAGGATTTGGGGGGATCCATTGAAGCTCTCGAGACTCTCCTTCAAAAGGTTGACAAAGAAATATCCCAGTCATAATAACACTACATCCAATGTTCTCAAATCTTCCTCACTACCTTGAGTCATAAAATGCAAGCTCTTATGCGACACGATGTGTCACAAATGCCTGAGCTTTGTTGGTTCAATCAGTCCACCAATAGCAAGTCAAACATCCTATTTGCCAGTTGCGTTGGTTACGTTACACGGAATCCATATAAATATGTTAGCTCAAACAACTATTGGTCTATGTTCGAATTCAGAGGAACGTTGCTTGTATTCTTTGAACAATAAAGTTGAGTGTTAATACACAACATTGAGCTTCTAAGCTGAATTCCAATCAATTTTGGTAGATCTGTAGACAAGAAGAATAGGTTACGGTGTATATGATGGTTAAACCACATAAACTGGAGTTCCAGGTTGTAATTCATGTTCTTAACAACTCTGCAGCTTATCATCGATGCTAGATTCATTTCTGCAGAACTGAGACCTGTACCCTGCGATGCGAATCTCACTGAAACTTTCTTGTCATCTATCACCCCATAGCCCGGATAACTTTGCCAAATCCTTTGAATGATTAGAAACAATTTGTCGTTTGTGTGACGCAGAGCTCTGCGGAATCCGACTAGATAATGGTTAGGCGGCCGTCAAGATCGGCCGTCCTGTCGGCCGTCCTGTCGGCCGTCCTGTCGGCCGGGATGGCTTCGCCGTGGTCCGCAAACCCGCTCCATGGTCCATGCGACGATATGGAGACAGACGTCGCTTTTGTTTGTCTTAGGTAACATATAGGCTCCAGGGATGGTAATCCGAATCGCATTAATTGATAACGAATTGCGTAATGTACGATGCCTATCTCTGCTGGAATGCCGCGGGGGTTCGGACGACTCGGCCGGCGGAAATAATAGGGCAGACCAGTAAAATGCACTTGAAAAACGGCCCCCCCCCCCCCCCCCCCCCCCCCCCCCCCCAAATTCTGCGAGACTGTCAAACTGATATAAATCCAATACATAAAATCAATCATAACAATCAGCTCATCCATCAACGCCTCCTTTGCATAAGAACAACAATCGTTCGTACTCGATGGATAACCACACTTCCTTCACTGTAACACCGCTGGAGCGGACACCTGAGCAAAAGATCAATGTGAGTAGTCATGTTTAATGACCTAAGCTAGTATATTCAAGCTCAATCTCGATAGTTCGGAGCTTGCGTGACTGGAGTAGACTTGAACAAAATCTCAAGTGGGTCCTCATTCAACCCACTATCTCGATGGTTGGGGACCGGATCTTACATGCATGAATAGGTGATGATGTCAATCGTCTCAAAGCTGCCATTTGGCGCCACAAGGTCATTGTCGTTAAAGCCCAACACGACTTAGATCCTAAGAAGCAATGGGAGCTCGTGACCCGACTAGATCCCAAAGCCAGTGACGGCCACAGTCACGGAGATCTGAACGCATTCCGGGCGAAGGGTGGACTTCTTGCTGTATGCCTTCCCGTCCGACACTTTTGATCATTTTCACTATCTCTGATAAATGTTAGCAAGGAAGAGAGGTGGTTGGAATCCCCGGCGCAGAAAATGTCAGATTAATTGGCAAGGGCTTCCAAGGGGAGAACCACTTCGGTATTGTGAACCACATCATCGAACGCGGTCTTAGCAATGACTTTCATGCCGTCCCACCATCTGTGGAGGAATTCGAGCAGGGCATCACGCGTTTTCAACGCTGGCATATCGATGCTCCACTGTATGGGAAGGATCCTGCGTGGTTCACAACCCTGCGCTGTGTTACTCTTCCTAAAGGACCCAATCTCACTGTTCAATGGGCCGACGGGTCCGGTCAAACTATGCAATCCCCACCGGGACATACTGCATATTTCAGCACATCTCAGCTCTATCTCATGTTATCACCCGAAGAGCAGGCGTTGGTCGATCACAGCTGGGTCGAATATGCGCCCTATCCATACAAGTGGATTCAGAAGTGCAAGGGCAATACCAACGGCCTTGGTCTAGCAGAAGGGGGTGAGCGTCTCACGGAAGAAGAACTTGGAGAGTATGATACGACGGCAGTCAAGAAGGTACTAGTTTGACCGAGCCCCGACTCGCATGATCTGTTGGCTAACTTAAGGAATAGTATCCAATGGTCTGGGTGAATCCGTTGACGGGCGAGAAAGCCTTCCAAGTCCACGGAATCTGTGCCCGAAAGCTTTACCTGCGTAGCTCCAAAGAAGAGCAACCTCGTATTATTGAGGATGTGGCAGAGATTCGCAGGTTTATTTTGAGTATCCAGAACAGGATCCTTAAGCCTGAATACATCCTGCTGGCTCCAGCCGAGGAAGGAGACGTGATAATTTGGGATAATTACGGACTCTTTCACTCTGCTATTGACTATCCGATCAACATGGGTCCTCGCTCCATGCACCAGGCAAACATCAGTGGCAGTATTGGTCCAAAGGGACCTGTGCCGATTCCATTGATGGTCTAAGGCGAGACTATATATGTGTCATAGCGCTTAATCGCAAGCAAGGGAATCGTAATTGAACCTGGTTTAATGCCGATAGTTTCAAATGTGAACTTCAGGTCATGGATAGTATATCCAAACAAATTTAAATGAACAAAACTCGATCCATAATTTTTGACCTAATGAAAATCTCATCGGCATATCTTTCCATGCTCGTGATGGACGGCCTTACTTCTACGACCAAAATCAGAGACTTTGAAAAACGAAGACTCACTTTTGTCTTCTCATATGGCGGCGCTGATGGGAGTTGCATCTGCTGCAATGCATGACCAGGCATTCTCTGTGGAGATTAATTGTCTAGTAAAACTTATTTCTCTACGGAGGTCGAGAAAGACCATGAAAACGGAAGAAGCAATCCAGGGATGACGGCATGGAATGGCGTTTTGGCACTCACCTTTGGGATCTTTTACCGCGAGATGGATGAACGACTAGATACCATTTTTACTTTATGCGATTAATATTTACTTATTCTTCAATTTCGTCATCGAGTGGTGATGCTATTCCAACGCAAATTAACTATGGCGTTGTCAGATCAACCTATGGCGCGTCCCTGATCAACAATTCTAATCCACCCTGAGGGCAGCTTTTGCCCCTAGCCTAGCCATGTGTATCGAGAATTGTGGAGTGAGATTATACCTTTTCAGTGCTCTTATCGATCAGAAAATGGCTGGCTTCAAGGATTCTGGGTTGGTCGCGGCGTCGGCCGACTACGGCCGACGCTAGATCCCGTCCGCCCTGGTTAGAATTGAGGGTTTCCCGCAGAAGATTTAAAGCATCCCCATTGTACAGATTGTACAGGGTACAGGTTTAACAGAGCTTCTACCTCGGGTCATTTTCTACTCCCGAAACGTCAAAGATGCGGTCTTCAGTCTGTGTCTTCGCTCTACTCAGCGTAAGTCTCCCTGCGGCGCTGGCAGTGGTACTTGCGGATCCGAATCTGATGATCAATGGCATAACATTTCCGACTCGAACTCACTGGATGCGCCTGGCAAACCAAGCACTAGGCGAGATAAGTGGGTCTCCTTGTCCCTTTGCTGCCTTTGGAACGGTCATCGTCAACCATACGGCCTCCGAAGCAGGCAAGCTCATTTGTATGGGCGTCAATGAGAATGGGAATACCGGCAATCCTTCTCTCCACGGTAAAGCTGGATTCCTGGTTCGTAATCAAAACAGTTTTTACTGATGCGTATCCTCACCCTACAGGAGAAATTGCGGCCATCAAAAATTGCACGTCGATTCTAACTGACCCCCATGGCAAGTTCCGTATGAGCGCGACCCAGGCACAAGATGCGTTCGCCGACCTAACGCTGTACACAAATGCCGAGAGCTGTCCTATGGTATAATAATTGTAAACTTTTGGGATACTTGGATTATTAGCTAACAAGGACAAAGTGTGCCTCTGCAATTCGCTGGGCAGGGTTCCGTGAATATGTATACGGAACGTCGATCGATACACTCATCCAAAAAGGCTGGGGTCAGATCCGGATTTCTTCAACGGACGTTTTTGAGGCCTCTTTCGACCTTCCGAGTCACGCGCGATTAATGGGCAATCTTCTCACCAATGAGACCGATCCTTACTTCTTGTGGCAGTACGACCCGAACTACCCGTGCCCCCGTGGTTGTTCACGAACGAGGGATGGGACAAGTTGTATGGCTTCTTCGAAGTAGATGCATTTGGAGTTTGTCCCGCCAGGTAAATATCACTATCGAGGTCTCATGCATGTATTTTGATAAGGGAAAAACTACTTCTTAGTGTATGGATATGGCACTCAGTCTGATCTGTATAGGTCGAAGTCAACTCAAGTAGTCGATCCAGAAAATTAGCGGCGCAGTTTTATCACAGGCATCGTATGGTGGATTTGTTATCATGGTTGACATATTTAAAGCTTTCTCTACATCATCCCCCTCCATTCTGCGCGAGAAGCAAGATGTCCTCTAATGAATCATGCACCAAAAAACTAGAGTTTGGCTGAAGGCAGTTGCTATAAAGTTCTTCAGTATGAGACTGTCGAGCTGTGAATCCTGGTGATTGCATGTTCGAACTTGGCGAACAAGGTTCCGTCATGGATGGGAGATTATCGGCCGGTCGCCAATTATCAGTACGGCTCGCGAATGCCTCCTGCTCACAGAATGATTGTATGAGGCCACGAATATCCCAGCTTGATGATTCTTTGCCTCTATCCTGATCTAGCCGAAGCAGTAGACGCAATATTTTAACACCTCGCTTGGCAATCATGCTGATGTCGCTTTGAGACAAGATCTCAATCATGTGTTTGGCTAACTCGCGATTCTCTCGTTGGTCAGAGTCAGGGAGTGGGTGGAAGAAAAGATCTAAGCACAGTATGATCTGGAATTAAGTAAGTATCCCTGTAGTGGGACAGAAAGCGATCGCTGCGCACGTACACTTGCTGCCACGCTAAACGCATGATAAATCCAGAGTACTGGTCCATCCTCTCGAATCAGTTGCTTCTGTTCCCGAATTATGGTTTTCGCCGCCGCGATACAGGTCTTACGTGTAAATGTAAACGCCGGGTTGGTGAAGCTTGACCAGAGGAACTTGCGATGAATCATGATAACTTTATGAGCGGAGCTAATAGTCAGGCAGTGTCGTGCCCACGGTACGTAGAGCGGCCAAGATGGCTCGAGAGTAGTATTGCGTAGGCAAGAAGGAATATGTTTGCTGACCAATGTGCGCATTTTGGTGTCGTATCGGATGACATGCTCATATTTTGTATATAATGTCTGCGATGCAGATAGGTCATCTTGAAGCTGAGGCATGAGTGTTGCAATGTCGTATAGGAAACGATGGTAGGTCATAAGAGTTGGCATATTGTCTGGGACATTGGTCATTTCGTCATCATCCTTGCTATTTCGAGGCTCTCCCATCTTAAAATCTTGGCGATGAGGATGGATCAGATAGCTTTCCGAAAAGGGAATTGAAAACCAATCCTGGATACATAGCTCCGCCCATAGTCGTCGGCCGATCTCCCTTCGTACTGGATTACTTAGATTATCATTGGGTTCTTCGCCTAGTCTGTGCATACCCAGGCTCTGCGCGATCCGGACAGCAGATGCAAGGTTGACAGAGTGGCTATTAGAATGACCCAACAAATGAGCACTTATTGTCATTGTTGCAATACACTCGACCCCATACAATGAATGGTGAGCAGTAAAATCTGCCAGACTCAGACAGACCAGAGCGGCTTTGAAAAGTCGATGAGCCAAGTTAGTACGCTCAGAATCTTGAAACCCCCACGAAGAAGACATTGAACGGGGCGCACATATCATACTCCCTGCCAGCACGGCAAAAAGAAGTGCAGCCCACTGAAGATCGATCTGCTGGTCATCAATACGGCCATGGTTTTGTTTGATAAAACGGTCAACTTCTTCCTGGAATATGCGCCCATGGAACGAAGCGTGATACCACAGAAGGCACTCGCAGTGGTACTTGACCATTCGCAATAAAGTGGGTGCATCGGGAAGCAACAGCTGCAGGAGTGGAAGCGAAGACGCGTCATCCGTGAAACGCAATTGAGGGGGAGGGTCTGCAGGGCCACCCTGTAGAGATACATCTCCGGGTGACTGTTCAGGCGCACGATTTGGATCTCCAAGTAGACCATCGTAGTCAGGGACTTTCCGTCGGCCCCATGCCAAGAATTCCAAGATTGTCGCAGCATCCTCCACTTCGGCCGTCTCACGGCTGGGACTGGCATCCTCCACCTCCGACGGTGATTGAGTTGATGTGCCTTCCGGTACACCGAACAACGACACCGCACTGTCATTAAATCTGGGACTTGAGCTGTCGCGCGTCCTCGCTGCCTGCAGTGTAGCTTGCAGCTCGTTGAGGCATGCAGCGAGGGTCCCAGTCAGTTCGGTTGAGGGGGCTCCACTACGCTGGGGAATTGGCGGAGATCCCCCAGTCGCCCGCGAGTAATTGGAAATGTGCGGTACGCGATAGCAGGTGCTACCTCTAAATTTCCGAACCCGTAAGAATCCGAATGTAATAACCGAGCTTGATGGAATCTGATCTTACCTATGGCGGCAATTCCGACACGGTAGGACCTTATCGCACTTGATCTTTCGCCGGGTACACTCTGCACACGCCAGTCGCTTTCTTTTGGCTGACGGATTCATATTTTTTCTGCGGTTAGTCTCCAGTGAGATACCTTAAGACAGATAAATCCAGCAAAACCGGGTGAGAGACGGGTTTTGATCGTGGCGATCCGTGCCTATAGCAAGCAATCTTGCATTATCAGCTCGGCCGACGCTAGGGTGAAGGGGGCCTGTGCGGTGATAACGATAGATAGCGGAAGCAAGAGAGAGAATGCCATCGCCTGTGAGATGCCAAAGATTAATCTCGTCATAGGCGGGACCGCGTAGCAAGAATGTGGGAACATGCGAACCTCAAAAGAACAATCCTATCCCAGATATCTGTGGATTGTCATCAATGGCGATGCGTCTAATCCATCGTAAGCGCTGGGCGCTGCCCAAACAGGATAGCAGTATTGCCCCACCACATGTATGGAGTAATGCCGATCAAGATCCAGTTCCACCGGAGAAATGGACTTGGACAGGCTGGACTTTCACGCAGTACTGGCTGTCTGACTTGATTACTGTATCAACTTGGTCCGCTGCCAGCTCGGCGTACGCGTCTGGGCTTTCGGTCACGGACACGGTGCTGTTGACACTGACCGCGGCGCTGTGTAACGCTATACCAACGGTCCTCAATGGCGCCGTAGGAGCCGACCTTCACATTCCATTTCCCGTCGCTATTCGGGCTAGCTATGGCACGTACTTCGGGTACTTCTGCGTGGCATCGCGTGCTGTGCTAGCAATGTTTTGGTTCGGCATCCAGAGCTCCTATGGAGGCCAGTGTGTAACTCCGGTGAGTGTATTCTCGTCCGTGACTGGTTTTTTAATTTAGCTCACAAATACGATAGATTATCACCGCAATTTGGCCCAGCTTTGCCAACCTTCCTAATCATTTACCAGCATCAGCAGCTATTACGACACAGGGAATGATTTCCTATTTTATCTACCATGTCGTTCAAACGCCATTCCTCTTCATACCAACCCATAAATTGCAATATATGTTTATTTTCAAGTCCACTCTGGTACCACCCATGGCACTCGCTATGGTAATTTGGATATCAGTCAAGGCTGGAGGGGGAAGGGCGTTGTTCCATGAGCCATCCACTGTTCACGGCGCCGAGCGAGCATGGCTATGGCTGATGAATATGACTTCAATCACCGGTATGTTTGTATGAATCATTTTATTGATAAGCTTGAGCTCTAATTAAGCCCTAGGTGGCTTTTCAACACTTGCGGTCAATATTTCCGACTTCTCGCGCTTTAGCAAGAAGCCAGGCAGTCCAGTTTGGCAACTGCCCATGATTCCCCTCTTCAAGGTTATAACTGGTCTTTTTGGCATTATTGCTGCCGGCGCATCTAAAAAGGTGTATGGGACCATTTTATGGAGCCCGTTGCAGATCATTGACCAGTGGCAAGGCTCCTCCGGGGGGCGAGCCGCAGCCTTTTTTTGTTCATCATTGTGGTTATTGGCACAAATCTGCAACAATATCTCGGCTAACTCAATATCATTCGCAAACGGTTGGTACCTACCAAGCTTTTATCCAACTGGATACTAACTCTCATACAGATATGACGACCATGTGCCCGAAATGGTTCAACATTAAGCGTGGAATGATCATGTGCATGGTTCTAGGCGGGTGGGCGCTCTGTCCCTGGATTATCATTAAGAGCGGCAAAACCTTCCTCAGTTTCATGGGTGCGTATTCTATATTTATGGCACCAATTGCGGGCATTCTTTGCTGCGATTATTGGCTCATTAAGCGACGCAAATACGACGTCCCCGCTCTATATGATCCGCGAGGGATTTACTACTACAAGGTATGCTGTTTCCAATACTTATGATTTTAAATAACATTTGCTAATTCAAGTGATCAAAAACAGCTCGGCACAAATTGGCGCGCTCTATTCTGCAATCTGGTAGTGATCATTCCCCTTCTCCCGGGCTTGGCATACTCGGTGACACCAAAAAATGTCAACATCGACACCGGTCTGCAACATCTCTATTCTATCAATTATCTTTATGGTTTCGGTCTTTCGTTCATATTGTACTTTTCCTTGAACTACTTCTGGCCTGACCGAGCCACACTGATCCCAGCAGTGGTTCCCGGGGTGGTTCGCCATCTCAATTCCGCCGATTCGGATTTGGAAGCAGAAGTGAGTGTGCAAGATAAGGTGACGCAGCCTACTGATAAGTTGAAGGAGTAGGAGAACGCCCGCGAAGGCTGTCTTGTTTCTGATTAATGTCGGTTGTCGCTTATCGCCCGTGCTCGTTTGTGCTGACTTGGCATGCATAATCTCACTAATTTCCCCGAAACAAACGAAGTGAGATACAGCGCTCTAATCAACATGTATGTATGTGCGCGTCTACAAGAATCAGAGCCCTGTCTATGTAGGGACACCGCTGCCACGGACGCTGCTTAATCGCCTATGTGTTACCTTCTTGGGCCTAGCTTCTCTAGGCCACTAGGGCTCAACCTTGCCTCGAAGGTATTGAACAGCACCTTTATCCAGTCTCAACCATAATAATCATGAGTTCGCTTTTTCCGTTGAATTTAACCGATATTATATTTAGTACTAAATGAAATGGTGGTCAAATTTGACATGTAATAAGATCGGCTGATACGATCAGAAGCAGCGCGTGTGGGAGAATTTGTCGTGGAAAGTGGAGACGTATATTTAAGTGATTACGGATTTATCACGTGGAATACTACATTGCCTGGATATTTATATGTAAAGTAGGTAACATCTCGACTTCGGTATAATGCTCCGAATACTCGGTTACACTACGCAGGGATGGTTTAATACGACCATTTTAGTTCTGTATACCTAGATATTTTTCTCTTTAATTAATCAATCGTTTTCTGATAGTTCCGGTAGTTCTCCGTCTTCCTAATTTATAGAAGTCTGTGCGCTAATTAGCCTTACTTTAATAGTTATAAGCCCGATCTCGCCATTAGGTTAGGACGGATTATATTAATGTTATTTCTCTACTATCCGCTAACGATACGCCTCTATTATTTATTACTTTAGCGAGCCTAAAAACGTTTTTAAATCCTCCCGATGATTTTATTAAACCACCCGTCGGCCGTACCAATTAATCACGATAAAACCCTCAAATATTTAACTAAATTTACTATAGTAAATATATCTATAAATATGAAAAAGCTATAGTTAAATAGGGTAGAGTTGGGCCTTAAGCTCCGTTACTAAGACTATCTATTAGCGACTTTAGAAGGGTCATATAAGATACGCCGCTAAGAGCCTTTAAGTGTAGTAACATATTGATCTTAATCTCTCTAATAATAAGATAAAATAAGTCCGTTGATACTGAAGTTGTTAAGAGTAAACTACTTGCAGGGTAGAAAGCCTGTCAACTAGGTAGGAGAGTAAAGTAATAAGTCTGATTATGATAGAGACTGATTCTTGAGGAGGTCCAAGCCCTCTTAAGCATTAATTTAAGTATAGTATCTTCTATGTAAACAGGAAAAAAAAAGAAGCTAGGGGGACAGTACCGAAATGCCAGCGTATGCCCCCCGAAAGATAATTTGAGAGCTATGTAATGTCCATGCTGTTTAGGCAGAGGTAACCCCGGTAAGAGGTCGTCTACTTACATAAAATCTGCGTAATCTGCTTCCTTCGTGTAGCGTTCGATATCCATCAATTTATCCATCTCCACGCCCACTTCTTCCGGTTTCTTGACATTCGGATCACCTCCTGCCCATCCATACTTTGAGACATACAGCTTGCTCTCGTACATTTCTCTCACCAACCAGTCAGGAGCTCCAGCGGAATTGAACTCTTTGTCCACTTAGAGCACAAGTTTAACGCCTTTAATGTCAGCCCACAGCTTCCAGTATTCCTCGTAACGCATGGGGCGGCTACATCCCAGAACCGCCAGTGCCAGGTGGGGCATGTATGAGAGTTTTGACCAGGTACCCCGTATCAGTTTGAGCATGAACCCAAGGAACTGGCTGGTCTCCAAAGCCTGCGGTGACATACAGGACAAAAGTACCATCCGTTCGTTTCTCCGGTCTCTGAATCGGGTTCCACCAGTTGCTAAGATAGACTCCAATCTGGAAATAGCTCGTCTTCGCTGCTAGATCTAGGTGTGTTTGTTGCAGATACTCAGTGTACTAGGTTTTTCCATCAAACCATATTATTTTTGCTATGCTATATGAGAATTGTGGAGTACTTGGCCTCGACCTCAAACCCTCTTTATTAGCCGCTGATGCCGAGCTGCTCAGCAGGCTAGTCATGAGTTATAAAAAGCTAGGTACGCTATATTACCCTAACATACTTACCCGATACTGCCAAGATGGCCTACTTACCTACATCTAGGTAAGCATCGAGGAAATCAAACGATTCAATATCGCTTTATATAAAGTTTGCACGGTATGTAGTGGGAAAGAGGCTAGCACGGATATCCTAGGCATAACCGCGATATCGAAGAGGGGACTTCGGGCGCAGGATTTACAATTTCCTTTACCAAGAAACACGCCATTATAGAAGACTATAAGCAAGGCGGAATGGTTATCTGCAGGGACAGAGGATGCGTACCGCCACGACCTAAATAATAAATTAGAAAACGAATGGATCTCTAAGTCAGCACATATCTTAGAGGCGCTAGATACAGCTTAAAGTCGGTTTGGATGCTTTAGTTGCTATTTAGTCCTGGTCACCTTACTCAGTCTTGGTACCTACGTGATTAAGCCCCGGGCATAGCTATGGGAGCTAGTACGGACCCCATAACTCTAGGAAGTTAGTCATGACGAGGATCGGATTAGGGTGGATTGTGTTTGTCCCGCGGTGGGTTTTCCTTTTCTGTAACCTCTCCTATTCCCGGAAACGGTATTTCCCGCTCGTTTTAACGACTACTAACATTATATAATTGTAGATGCTCTTCAAACCAACTATATATACCGGAGGTATATCCGAGGAAGCACGCGAGATTCAATACAAGCGCAGTCTGCTACAAACACAAGGGAATAGTTAGGACTGCGCTACGGCTGTATCCTTTCTCGTCGGGCCGCACGCACGCTAGATGGTGGGCGTTATAATCCCCCTTAACGCTTAAAAAACGGCCGTAGTAGGGAGTGGGATGTCCAAAAGTGCGAGTGTTGACCGGTAGATAGTTTTCGATTTTCCTTTCTTTTAGCCTATACT